GCACACCCTGATACAGTATCAGTCGTGGCCGGGCCACTGGCTGGACGCACCATGCTCTACCTGGGACCAGGGAGCCGGTGATACTAGTCTTAACAAATGTTCTTTTATGATCAGGAATAACAATTCAGGTTGTAAGGACCAGTGGTCTCTGTAAGTGCAGACTGACCAGCACCCAAAAAGGTGCTAGAAGGAAGAGGTGAAAAAATGCAGTTCCTGATACCAACGTGCCTACTATTTTTCCCATCATATTTTTTAATTTAAAAAATTACCACATGTGTACATGGTAAGAAAAAAACAAAAAACAGGCCAAAATGGAAGCTATAGCTTGAAAGGGAAGTCTCCCTGCTGCTCCCTTCCCAGCATTTCCTTCCCAAGAGGCAAAAGCAAGGCAATTCCTTGCACACTCAGCTTGACTGTTTTCCACACTGGTGTGCCCTCGCTTTTTATTGGGTGGCGATGGCTCCATATTCACCCATCCGTCGCCTTTGTTTTCCTTGGCTGTGTAGTGTCCCATTGTACGGATGCGGCGTCATTTCTAGGGTTCAGCCATCCCGGCTGCGGAACGTTTGGTTTGTAGCTCACTGTGGCTGCAGCGACTGCCCTATGTGTCTTGGTGTGATTTCTGTCTGGAGGATAAACTCTTAGAAGCTGAATTGTTGGATCAAAAGGTACATGAATTTTTATTTAGATATTAACCAATTAACCTTTCGAGCTCAATTTATATCTTTAACATTTCGGAGTACTTGTTTGCTGTATTTTCGTCAACATGATATTAAGATTTAGTTTTTGTTTACTTGAGACACGAAAACTAACTTTATTTTCTGTTTCTTTCATGTGTGACAGTGAGCAGCTCAGTTTTTTAAAGCCATCTGTATGATGTCCTTTATCCGGTTTTCCAGGGTGTGGGGCTTCTCTAATTGATTTGCAAGAGTGCTCTTTTGAATGAGGCAAATTAGCATTTGATGTGTATGGTAAATATTTTTTCCAGTTTGTTCAACTTTATTTTTCTTTACATAATTTTTGCATTTTGTGCCATCGTATTTGCCAGCACTTCCTATTAAGGCTTCTGAGATTTGAAGTTTTTTTCCACTTTTAGATTTAAAAAAAAACCCTGTTTTCTACTACTTTTGTGCTTTTTATTTTCATGTCTACATCTTTGAACCATTCAAAATGTATTTTAAAATAGACTTCTATCTTACCCCAAAGTAAATTCCATTGCCTTATTTATTTATTTATTTATTTTCTGATCAAGCCTCAAATTTTATTTATTTTTTTAAAGTTTTTATTACAAAGGGTATTACATATGTGTCCATTTTTCCCCCCGCTCTAGACAGTCCCCTAGCCTCCCCTATCCCCCAGTGTCTTATGTCCATTGGTTATGCTTATATGCATGCATACAAGTGT